TTACTGTAGAAAACTGAAAATATAAAGACACGTAAAACACCTATGACTTCAATACCTCTAAAAACTGGCACTACATTTTGGGTATATATCCACTCAGATGTTTTCTTTCCTTTTTTGGGGGGCAGCGCGAATTGAACTCAGGGTTATTCTACCACTAAGCCACATTCCCAGACTTTTTTATTTTTTATCTTGAGACAGGGTGGGGCCTAAATTGCTGAGGCTGGCCTCTAACTTATGATCCTCCTGCCTCAGCCTCCCCAGTCACTGGGATTATATGCATGTACCACTTCACCTGACTCAGAGCTTTTCTGTGCATGTAGATTTGTGCCTTTTTATTCCCCCTACAAAAATGGTGTTATATAGTACACACTGTTTGGTAACTTGCTTTTTTCATGAACAGTATATGATGAGCAGTTTCCAAGTCAGAAAAAAATCCTACAACATCACAGTCTGGTGGCTAAGAGCCCAGATTCTGGCAACAGACTGCCTGGGTTTGAATCTCAAGTCTGTCACTTACCTTAGGCAAGTGGATTAACCCCTCTGTGCCATGATTTCCTCTTCTGTAATGTGGCCAATAATAATCTCTATTTCATAGAGTGTTTGTGAGGATTAAAACAAAATGTATACAATATTTGGAGCAGTGACTGTGCTATGTATAACCTTTCTATACACTACACCGACTTCCATGATAGGAATGTGCGATAATCTGTTTGACCAGCCCTCTTTGTGGAATATCTGGGTTGTTTCCAAAATGTCCCGATTGAACTCAGGGATGCTTTACCATTGAGCTACAGCCCTAGCACCCCACCTTTTTTCTTTCTTTAGAAATAGGGGTCTCAGTTGCTGAGGCTGGCCTCAAATTTGTGATCAATTCCCCTGCCTCAGACTCCCAAATTGCTGGGATAATAGGCACACGGCAACGCAGCTAGCTCTCAACTGTCCCTGTTCAAAACACTGCAGTGAACATCCTCCGTATGGACACATGTATGAGAGTTTGTCATCCACTGTTGGACTCTGCTGTGACTCCCCCAGACCAGGAACAGAGCTCTAGGCAGGTGGGTCTGAAGGAATCCTAGCTGCTAAAGGAAGCAGGGAGGTGAAACATGACCTCTCTCCAGGGCTGTCCTGAACTCAGCTCTAAGTGCAAGACCCAATCCCTTGCTCATCAAAAAGTTCCAAGAAGGCTGGGGTTGTGGCTCAGCGATAAAGCACTTGCCTAGCATGTGTGAGGCACTGGGTTCAATTCTCAGCACCACATATAAACAAACAAATAAATAAAGTCCATGGACAACTAAGAAAATATTAAAAAAAAAAAAAAGTCCCAGGAAGAGAGACTGGCCTTAATTCCTACCCGGTTCTTGGTCAAGTGAATGAGAGCAAACTATTTCCCCTTTTCACTCGTCTATAAAATGGCCACTGAGGTTCTCCTTTGCTCCCAGGTCGGTGAGTTGTGGGGGCTGGAGGTGCACCAGCATTCTCTGTGCCCTTAGAATTCCAGAGGCCCATCTCAGGGTTCAGAGTACACCTGGCTAGAGCCAAAGGGGCTTCAGGGAGGGTGGGCCAGGAAGAAAGAGCTGGTGGAGAGGAGTGAAGAATATGGAGAAGACAGTTTTGCTCTGGCCTGTCCTTGTACTCTTGGCAAGAGGGCTATTCCTGCCTTCCCATCAGATAGATCATCACCTCTAAGCACCAACAGCCAGATACAGCTCCAGGGTCTGTGCCTGTAGCCTCAAGGGTTACCCGTGCTCAGCTTATTCTTGAGCTAAACTGCTCTACTATATTATTGATGTGACCTTGTTTTCTATGAGCCTCAGTTTTCTTTTCTGTAAAACAGAGCTATAATGACCTGCTTTTATTTATTTATTTTTTTTTAGAGAGAGTGTGAGAGTGAGAGACAGAGAGAATTTTTAAAAATATTTATTTATTTATATATTTAGTTAGGTTTCGGCGGACACAACATCTTTTTTTTTTTTTTTTTGAGAGAGAGAGAGAGAGAGAGAGAGAGAGAATTTTAATATTTATTTTTTAGTTYTCGGCGGACACAACATCTTTGTTTGTATGTGGTGCTGAGGATCRAACCCGGGCCGCATGCATGCCAGGCGAGCGCGCTACCGCTTGAGCCACATCCCCAGCCCCTCATGACCTGCTTTTAAACATAGGTTAGAAGCATTTCCAGAGGGSACACTAGCACAGGGTGGGCAGGTGACTCAGCCAAGGATACCAGTGAGTTGTCATCTGAATTGAGACTGTAACCCAGGCCTCTCTAGACCTTTGTACTGCTTCTTCTTAGCCCATCACCCCGAGATTCTCTCTGACCTTTCTCTGCTTCTATGTAGCCTCAGCCACACCTGCCCATTGCTCCCAGCCACTGTGCACTTCTGTCACAGCCCAGGATGCCCTTGCCAGGAATCTGTATGGTGGCAGGCTAGACACTGAGCTCCAGAGAACGGGCACGTGTCCCCAGTGCCTGTGTCATCTTTCCCCTGGGTTACTCACCAATCCATTCCAAGCCCTGGCACTGTCTTATCAGGGACACGGCTGGGAGTGGAAAGGATGACAGATATGGCCTCTCACCTCAAGGAGTTGACTGTCTTAGTCTCTGGCCCAGGTTATATGGAATTCTGTCATCATCGCAAAGAGGGATATTCAGATCTGGCTCCCCATGGAGTCTGGAGACAGGTCCTAACAAGGTACCTGTCTCCCTCCATCCATTCAAGCCTCCAATCCCATTGATTCAGGTCCCTCCTGTACTTTCCTCAGTGAACCCTCTGTCCTGGCAGCTGAAGCCTTTTCCTGCTGCTCCAGAAAGAATTTTGTTCATGTCCTTTCTAAGCACCAGGCAGGCTTGGTGGAACTGAGCTCACAATTTCTTATTCTTGATCACYCAGTGACACTTTATCAACACGTTGGAGTACAGGCAGGGATGAAAAACAAGTGTACTGTTAAGAGCAGTTACTTGCTTTACCTGCTGCATGCCTGGCTCTGAGCTCATTATCCTCCCAGTCTGAGTACAAACCTGAATGTAATCAGAGGCTCTGAGAGATTCAGTAACTTGCCCAAGCTAGTAAGTGGCCAAGCTGGAATTTCAACCCTTGTCTGAAAAAGCAGATACCCTTGCTATTTTCTAAACTTCTGCCTCCACAGGTATAGATCTGATGCCCAAGGAGATTTTTGTTTAGGTGGATGGATAAACCTCACCTATGAAACCACACACCAGAGGCAGTAGTGATGGAAATGCTCTGTGTGGAAGCAAAGACGGAAGGAAGGGATACAAAGGCACATGGGTTGAAGAACAGTAGAGATATCTTGCTGGCCTGGGAGACATGGAAGAGAGTATCTCCCCATGGAGACCAGCTCCGGATGCCACACTAAAGAAAATGGATTTTCTGTTCCAGGCACTGGGAACCTTTGAAGGTTTGTGAGCAGGAGAAAGTTAACAGAGAGCAGCAATGGAGGACAAAGCATTGGTGGGTGCTGATCAATGGGTGATCATAGGGCAGGGAGAAGTCTGCTGTGTCCCAGGACAAAACAACAGGGCACCTTCTTTCTGGAAGTTTTAAAAATGTGCTCCAAGGCCAACTGCTCCGATGTTGTTGAGAAGTTAAGATAGTGAAGCCACTTGGTAGGATGTTCTGCAACCACCAGAAACATTTATAAAGGATGCATAATAATGTGTAAAATGCTTATGTTAAAAAAGACACAATTAAATTTCTAATATGAGCACTATTCTATTTAATAATAGATTAAAAATATCAACTATGGAAGAAAATTGGGAGAAAAAATAAAAATAAAATACGATGCCAACAGCGGTGGTTTCCCCTCTTCCAGCTACTTTTCTTCGTTTTCCCCAGTTCTGCCAAATGACTTACATTCTGCTTTTTCTTTTTTCCACTTAAAAAGAAATCTTCGTTGTCCTTCCTAGTTGTTGTTTGGCATACATACTACGTGGCAGAGGAGTTAGGAGGAGTAAATGAGCTAACAGACGCAACTTGCCCAGCACCTTGCCCGGCACCATGCCCGGCACCACATCCGCGCTCCGGGAGCGTGCGCAGGGTCGCTAGCTAGGCGTCCCCAATTCGGAGGCACCGGGCCGGAGCCCGGATCCGCCACGCACCTCCCGTCCCCCGCACACACGCCCCCGGGGCCGACGCTCGGCGACCGCGCCCTCGCGTGCCGGACCGACTCCGAGCCAGCAAAGCGCACCGCCCCGCCGGGTCTGCGGACGTGGAACCCCGGCCGCGCAGCCCCACACGCCCCGGCAGCCTCGCGCGACGTCGAGCGCCCCACGGCCCCGCCCCCGTGACGCAAACCCGGGGGCGGGACCGCGCAGGCCCCTCCCATCGCGGCCTCCGATTGGCTGCCGCGCTGTCACCACGTCGCGGGAAGCTGGCAGGGTGTGTGTGTGTGTATGTGTGTGTGTATATGTGTGGGATTTGCTTTGTCATTCGTACTGTGTGTGTGTGTGTATGTGTGGGGTTTGCTTTGTCATTCGTACCCCCGTCGCGCGCTAACGCGGCCGGCTTGACCGAGCGCTTCAGCGACTGCAGAAGGGACCCGGCGCTGCTCCCGGTACGCTTCCTTACATAATGACGCGCTGACTGAAGCACATGTCCGCGCAGAAACCCCACATGCGGAAAACCCGGGCCTCCCGATTCATACATTGCTAGACGAGAGCCTACAGTGCCACACAGCACGGTGCGCTCTGGTACGGATTGCCAATCCGAAGCGCAATCCAATAATCATGAGGCGTACCTTCGCAACAAGGCATAATATAGGATGTTATATTTATAGGGCCTATTTATAAGCCTCTATTTAAATCTTTTCTGATAGGCCCAGCCATGGGTCCAGACACCATAATGATTGGCGCATTCTTCTGTCCTTCAAAGAGGCGGGTTCAAGAGTCCGTTTTGCCTCAGCGGGCCCTACTATTGGCCGTCAGCGGCGCAGCGGCGCCTTCGATTGGCCCTGCGGGCCGTCCGTCGGGGCCAAGGAGGCGGGGCAGGCGGCTGGCTGGTGCTGGGCGGGCGGGCCCCGGAATTGTCATTTCTTTGTTTCCGAAGGCGGAGGAGGCTCTGAGCCCCCCCTCCCCGTGCCACCCCCTCCCCCCGGGTGCTGGCTCCATGTCTGTGTGACCGGCCCCAGGGGTAGAGTCCAGGCCCGACGCGGGGCGGGCCGGCGGCGGCGGCGGCTGAGGTGAGAGGCGGCGGTGGCGGCGCGGGCACCGGCCCCCCAACGGGAGGATGAAGCGGCGGAACGCCGACTGCAGTAAGCTTCGCCGCCCCCTAAAGCGGAACCGGATCACCGAGGGCATCTACGGCAGGTGAGCGGCGGCGCCCCTTCCGCCGGGCGCGGTCMCGCGGCCCCCGGCCGGCTCCGGAGGGGCCGGTCCCCGTTATGTAACCCCGACTAGGCCGCACGCCCGCGCCGGGGGCTCTCCTGAGGAGCGCGGCCCGGGAGCTGCCGGTCGGCCCGCCGGGGGTCCGCCCCGGGGCTCGGGGCGTGGCGAGGCCCGCGGGCCGGGCGGGAGGGTGCGGCGGGCGCGGGCTGGAGCAGCCGCCTGCCGCCGTTGGCTGCGTCTGGGCCCGCCGGGGGGAGGGGACGCGCGCCCCCTCCTCGCCTGGCGCCCCCGGCCCAGCCCGCGGCGCCCAGCAGTCACTCCGGGCCCCGACGGACCTCCGCTGGCCCGGGACCCGCTGTGGCTAGGGTGGGAGCGCGGGTGGGAGCGCGAGGCGCGTGGCCCCTGTGGCCGGGGGATGGAGACTGACAAAGTTGGGAGCTGACAGCGGCCCCGGCCCCCGGGGGCTGCGGACACCCTGGGCCGGGCCGCTCCGGCAGCTCTTTGCCTTCTGCTCCCCTCATGGGATCTTAAACTTGGCATCAGGAACCGAAGCTGATACCCCCAAATCATGCCCTGTGGCCCCGCTCCAAACTGGGGCTGATGTCAGTTTTGTCAGCAAACATTATTGTTTGACAATGTCAAGCAGATATTTTTCCTCGAACCTTTTAAAAGAGGTTTTCTCCAAACTGAGATTTCCCTCTACCCTCTTTAAAGGAAAGCAGTGTTCCTTTAAATAGAAATTGAATTCAGACCTCTGGAAAGGACAACAGGTTCATGGGGCAACTCAGGGACTATCATAGTGTCCCCAAGCCGGATTTGTGTTCGTCTGTTATTTTCTGGTTCTTTTCAGAATGTTCATTCTCAATGGTACTTGCCTTGAAAAAGAAACGGTTTTAGTGGAGAAGCAATGAATTTGTCAAGGAAAATTCTCAGCATGTAGATATAGGCTTAATTGAGTCCTCATGGTGCTTTACAATTTAACTCTTCTAACTGGGACTTAGAGAAACGTGGGAAGTAGCTGATGACACCCAAGTTGCCTTAACATAACTGTACACCTTGCACATGCTGTTGTTTACACATTTGGAATGATTGCTTTCCACAGGCAGCTGACCGATGTAAATAAACATTGGGGGTTTTCTTCAAGTTTAGAAGCATTAAGAAATCAAAAAGTTCTTGGATATACCCTTATGTAATGAACCATAACTTGTAGGAATAATTCATTCATTCACCAATAAATGTTGAGTGAGCAAGCAGTGTTCTAGGCAGCCAGGATACAGCAGTAGGTAAAATAAAACAAAATACATCCTAAAATCTATCAGACCTGACTATTTTAATGGTAAAAGCAAAAACGATTTCTCCTATGGATTTAATGGGTTCGGAGAAAGATCACTTCAAGTTACACGTAGTATATATATTCTTGAATAAAGAAAGACTTTTTTTTCTTTAGTGGTTGAAAAAGACTTGAACAACTTCACATTACTAGAATAGAAAAAGTGTATTAAACGTAGTTGATAGACTTAGGACAACTGTGGCATTTGAATGGCTGCTATTTACAGTAACATAAGATGATGTACCTCCATTTATAGCAAGAAGATTGAAAGCCTATATTATTCACATGTTTTTTTGCTGTATTTCAGCTTCTTGTTGTATTTAAACAAATATACCCAGTTTACTACCTACACCATCGTAGCCACTCAGTGTGAATTAATATTGAAGAAGTGAATTCATTGTTTAATGAGGACCTATTATTTTACTGATGGCTTTTGGAAGTTGAACTTTATTACTGTAAAGGTTAATGGTAATACTCTATGCAAGTTACTCAGTTTCATTTGTAAAATTTTTAAAAACCAGCCATACCTCAGCTCTCAAATCAGTCTGCTCTTTTCTGTTTGGTATTCTTTTAAGTTAAATGTTGATAAAAGAACCTAAATATATTTCGTCCTCTTTCCTGATTGGGGCATCATATATCAAAAGAATATTTCAATTCACTTGATTCCTAGTTTACATTAAAAATATTGAACTGAAGAACAAGATTACATTTTTTTCCAATTGTTTTTAAAGAGAGATTTGGAAAATTTCCAGTTATTTCCAAAGCAAGCCAAACAAGTGGGCTAGATATAAATTAGGATGTTTGAGAATTCATGAATATCAAATTTCTGTTCATGATCAAATTTAAGACTACTGAATTGTTTTCATACCATCTATTGCCGATTTTGTTTCTCAACAAAACAATCTCAATTTTAGTGTCCATTAAACAGAGTTTATCCCCGCCCCCACTGCCCCCCCCCCATGCTGAGGCTGTGTTGACAGTTTTGATAACCACTGTCTACTGTGGCATAGCCTAACCTTTCATAGCTTATTTCATGTTCTCAGCCTGTACAACTTTCTGAGCCTGGAAGAGAGCAGCTGGCTGAAGACAGCACTGGGCTACAGGCTTCAGGAAAGCCAGATTCAGACACAAAATCCCAGCTTTGGACACGCAGCATCCACTACTTTGAGCCTCATTTTTCCCATCAGTTAAATAAGTTTTAAGGACTAAAAAAGATGTCTCTAGTTTGTGAAACTCTTTATAAATTCTAGTGTGGTGTGCAAATATTATTTGCCATGTTGTTGCAATCACAGTTTAACATGTATGGCTTATTCTTTTTTTAAAATTTTTTTTTAGTTGTTGATAGACCTTTATTTAATTAATTTATTTATATGTGGTGCTGAGATTCGAACACAGTGCTGCACACATGCAAGGCAAGTGCTCTACCACTGAACCACAACCCCAGCCCCTGGCTTATTCTTTTATAAAGGCAGGGGAAACTAAAATTCGGTGCAACTATAAACAAAAAATTGAGTAGTTAAAACAAGAAGCCAGTTACTGCTTGGTTTTACTTTTTAAAAATCCTGTTGCTGAGACACTTTTAATCATGGTCTTTAGTCCAGCAACTGTTACTGAAGCGATTGTCAAATGATATTTACTGTCAGTATTATGGCTGTGTTGGAATTCTCTTTCAGGGGAAAGATATAAAAAAAATTAATATTAGATATTATATTAGTGCTATCTGCATTTGTATGTATGCCTGTCATTTGAAAATTCAAGCATGCTTTAGAAATGTTATTCCAGTTAATAATCAAGAATAAGATCTTTTGGTGATTTTTTTTTTTTCATATTGCTAAGGGCTGAAATTCAGTGTAGTTTTTTAAAAGTCTGAACCAACACAGGTTCAATCATACAGTAGGCAGTTGGTGTTCAATAAATGTTGAGTGAGCAAATGAATACATGAAAATAAGCTAATCTGTTCCATTCATTAAAAACCTAATTGTTCAGTGAGTTGTGGAAGCTATAGGATAAGACATAGTTCCTTGTCTTCAAGGAGTTTGCTTTCTACTTGGCCATAGTAATACCCTCTTTAAAAAAAAAAAATGTTAGTGCCTTATAATCATACATAATTGTGGGATACATTATGCTGTATTTGTAAATGTACATAATATAGTTTGATCAAACTCATTTCTGCCATCCCTTTTCTACCTCTCATAATCCCCATAGTAATATTCTTTTAGATTTATACAGTGGTTTAGAGGTTCCAAAGAAGTTTAAGTTTCAGTCAGGTAAAATATTTCTGTTAAGCCACATTTTAGCTTACTGTTTTGATAGTTAAAACCTGACACATTAACAAGTATATTTTGTCCTGTGCTATTTTATGAAGTAAGACAGTTGCCACTAAGTGTGGGAGTATTTTCTAACTCAAATGGGATAGATGCTTGGAAAATTGTGAAAATAAGTCATTAATAATGAAAAGTCTCCTTAACTATTACTCTTCTGAGGTCCTTGGATTTCCTTGTGATTCTTTGCCCTGGTCTACCTTCACACACAGACACCTGCCACTCCCCCAGCAGCAGTTCTTCAGGCGAGGTGGGACTGTTGTTGTATAGTGAAGCCATAGGGGCTTCTTGATACTTCTCCCCACCCCTCATCTCCTGGAACTACTGACTTTATAATAGGAAGAAAAGGAGATAAAAATGTAGTAAATAGAAGATGGGAGAGAAACATTTATATTAAAAGTATATTCTGAGTCTCTCCAGTTAGAATTATTACTTACACAGCAAATATATTAAGAATTTTAAGTAAGTCCTATGTTTAGCTTCAGGAAATATTTTATATCTTTGTTACTGGTGGTTGAAGGAAGCATACCTTCCATGTAAATTATGACTACTTCCTGTGCTGATTCTGCTTGTAGTGTTGCCTGAAAGTCATGTTTTCACAGCTTAATGCCTTAAAACTATTTGTAGGAACTTATGACTGCCCTAGTGTATATAATACTTTTCCTCATCTTTACTTCAAGAAGTGTTCTCTGGTCTTTGGGACACTTCAAAAGTGACATTTTAAAATGATCACATTTGCATCCTCCTCAACTTCCCACTTTTCCTTTTCTAGACCCTTGTCTAAATAGTCTGGTCTTTAGAGATTTCACTTTACTGCTTTTCCTGTTTCTTTAATGATGCTTTTTTTTTTTTTTTAGCCTGGTTTTAGACTCCTTTGGGCTATAGTTATTAAAGTCACCAGAGGCTGCCTGCCTTGATTGTACACGGGTTCCTCAATGAGAATCCCAGATACCAGTGTTGCAATCTCACAGCCTAAAAGCATTTCAGTAATCATGGTAGGCTTTACCTTCAGCAGTGTTGAATCTGACATGAGAGAGAGATTCTGTATTGTTTTATTATTATTATTATTATTTTTTGGTACTAGGGATTGAACTCGGGGCTACTCGACCACTGAGCCATATCCCCAGCCCTATTTTGTATTGTATTTAGAGACAGGGTCTCACTGAGTTGCTTAGCGCCTCCCCTTTGCTGAGGTTGACTTTGAACTCTTGATCCTCCAGAGCAGCTGGGATTATAGCTGTGCCCCACCATGCCCAGCTGGAAATGTTATTTGTATAAAGTGTTCAATTTGAAATTTTTTTTTTAATATTTATTTTTTAGTTTTTGCAGAC